TAAAATAGAGTCGACGTCACAAACGTTTCTGCCTCGCGGCCTGTTCCATCGTATCAAAATACATCTACACACAATGGGCTTCTATGTAACTGTTGAGGCTTAATCCAGCTCATTAATCAGTCTGCTTTACATTCACAGAGATACACAACCTCTGTTTTTTGTTAGAAAGCGTGTGTGTTTGCGCGTGTGCGTCTTCCTCAGATAGCAGGAGACGGAGGCAGATTTTAACACCTGTGGGCCTCAAAACTAAGGAGACCCCCCCCCCCCCTCCCCCCGACCCGGAGAGACATGCAACTTCACTAATTACTCACACACACACACCTAAACATGTGCACATACACTCACTATGTACACAATAACTCAAGGGCCCCAAATACAACTTTAGAGAAAACGCATGTGCATTTGTACACGTACACACACTCTCTCTCTGACACACACACACACGCGCACAAACCCACACGGGGGCCCAGATGAGAGTGAAGCCTTCGGACTGTCAGAGCTGCGTCGCCTCGGGGTGACAGCAGCCACAGTTCATCCAGTGTTTACATTACAGCACTTTCTACTCCCTGCACACACACACGCACGCACGCGCACGCACACACACACACTTCAGCGGGCTGATCTGCAGCGCGATAAGATGGCCGACGTCTTCACGCACACCTGAGCTCTCCTGCCGTGAGGAGAGAGCAGCTCGTCCGGGGGAGTCACGCGTGTTTTGAGGAATAAAAAAAGGGGATTTTTTCGTGACACCACCAGACGTTTTTAGGGGAGGTCACGAGTGCAAGTGTGTAAAAAGAAGAAGTTGTGTAGCCAAGAGTAGGAGGTCGAAGGTCAGCGGGTCACAAAGCTGTAGATGAACAGGAAAATGACCTTGACTCAGGAACTACTGTTAAATTGAGGAGGTTCTTTTGAGATGTTCGTCCTTTAATGAAGCGTTTTCTGACCTAAAACGTTCCTCCTTCGTTGCTCGCGTGCACATGAAGCCGCCCAACGCGGGGAAGCTCATCGAATAACTAACGTGTCGATGGTCCTGTATCTAAATGGGCTGGTGCATTTGGAGTTGTGTGTCCGTGTGCGTGTGTGTGTGTGCGTCCAGCATGCTCCTACTTGCCTCCTTCGGTCTCTGCTGTTCTTCTCTCCTTCTGTCTGTCTGCTTCACAGATATGATAAATAATCGGAGGTGACTGGAGGAAATTGACGATTGACAACGTCTCGCCCTGAGGACAACCAGAGAACCACGCATGACCTAAACGTAGCTTCAAGCCTGACATCGAATCCAAGACTAAAACCTCCAGCTGAAGCAGTGAGGGCCGAGCAGAATGTCCTCGCTCTCAGCTCAGGTGACGACAGACAGAGGAACCACGAATGCGTCATCAAAAGAGAAGTAGACCTCAGTGGACGTGGAGCTTGTCCTCATCTCCTTTTTGACGCCACAGCGGACGAAAAAAGGTTTCGCACAAACCTCCATTTCCAAAGGCACAAAGAGACGAATACACGTTTTCTATTTGTTCTCGTCGAGGCTTCTGGAGTAACGGATTTGCTCATTTGACGTCCGGCTGAAACCTCTGCAGAACATTTCCTCTGGTTTTATAGTCCCAGTGAAGACTTCTGAGGCGCAGAATACTTCCGATGGGATGAAAGCACTGAAGCCAAGAGGATCAGCGCACTGTTTTAAAGTCAGGCTTAAGTTATCAACTCATCGGCCCCCGGGCCTGAGCACACACACACACACACACACACACACACACACACACACACAGACAGAAATAAATAAATAAACCTCAAACCTGTAAATTTGCCTCATTCAGACTGAACTCTTCCTGGTATTGTTCTTCTCAGCATGGCGACGCTGAATGAGAAGATACCCTTCATGTCGCCCAGTGTTTCTTCTCAGAGTTAAGAGGAATCGGAGCTGATGTACTTTGGGTCTCCGGAGTGTCTGAGGTTGAAACCGGAGATGGGATCTGGAGAACAAACCGTGGTGAAGCGGCCCGAGGCGCCGCGTGGAGGAAGATCTCCATTTCAGAAGCTTTTAAAAGCTCAGGATTAGGATTAGTGGAATGGCCCTTTAAGTGTCCAGAGCTGTGTGTTGTGATGGGACAAACGGCACGGGAAATGGGGAAATGCACCTCAGCATGTGTGTCCAGAGGGATCGTTTCAAAAGACTTCAAAGATATCTCAATTGGTGATTTTTTAAATGACAATATCACTTCACATTAACATGATCAATAAACAATTGTTTTTTTCCATCAACAACCGGACCTGCAGGAGACGGCTGACGTGGAGCCGCCGCCGCTCTTCCTGTCCGAAAGGATCCCTGCTGCTGTTATTAATGATCCGGCTCTGTGTGATGGGAGCTGACAGGCAGGAACGCTCTGACACAAGTATGAACTGAATGTGATCACAAAGGGAAGGAGGCGGAGGGAGGGAGGGAGGAAGGGAGGGAGGGAGACAAAAAGAGACGCTGAAAACAGCAGCAGAGGAGGACGATGGACGTGGATGAAACCGTGAAGGCAGAGAAGAGGAGCCGCTGGTTTTATTGTATTGACTAAAGGCCATAAAACACTTGATCTGAATGAAACTGATCGATTTCCAGGATGATGGTGTCCCTTAATGATCTTCAAGCACAACCGTGAAAGTAGATACAAGTTTTTTCTTAATGTTAAGGTTTGAGTGAGGATTTTTTTGTAAAATTCGTTCCAATCATTTTATCTCTCTCTCTCTCTCTCTCTCTCTCTCTCTCTCTCTCTCTCTCTCTAAGCAACTGAATTAAACCCACTTTTATTTAAGGTTTCGCCTACTTAGGATTTCACACAGACGCGAACACAAACATTTTACATCATTACTGTGAGACAGAAAGGGTCAGATTTAATGCAAAGTTGAATATGAGCAGCACTCCAGTCCATATTAAATCTAAAATTCCAAAGTGTATCTTCATCAATCAGGAATCATTTCAGTCAAGATTAGTGGATTATCATCCACATCCTGGACTATACAGTGATCTCAATACATTTCTGATATATTGTCTTTAACAAGAAGAACCAGAAAGAACACTTTTCAGCCTATAATAATATTAATGATGATCATAATAATCCTAATAATACAAACAATAACCATCATATAACCTTGATAAAAATAATAATAATAGGTTGATATAACCTGAGTGTCATTTGCATTAATTATCTTCAAACGGCTGATATGAAATATCATTTTTCATTTTGATGTGTGATTTGTGCATTTTGGGGGAATTCCCCATCGTTCTAATACCTATTGAATGTCATCTGGAGATTTACTGCTCTGCCGACGTTTTAATGATCAAGTTCAAACATGAAGAAACCAAAAAAAAAACGGCTTTTCTTCGTTTTTGACAAAAGCACCAAAATAACTGAATTTGAAATAAAAACACCTCGGGTCGCATCTTATGTTTGGGCAATTATTACAACCCGAAATTTGTTAAAAATAATTAAAATGTGTATTTTAAAAACCAACAAGGGTTGCGTGGACAAGTGAAAATGCGTCTAAGCGGAATTTAACACATCTGTGAAGCCGGAGATGGAGCGGTTTTTAATTATTCTGCGGACATGCACGTTAAATCCACGCAGAAACCCTCATTCTGAACAGTTTCCTTCGGGGTCGCAGCTCCTTCGCCGCCCACGGTCACCGCGCCAAACTAAACGTATAGACTTTTCCTCCCTGAGAAAACGCGCCGGGCCGCTGGACGTGTGCGCACGTTGCGCTGATTGGTGCGCTTCTACAAACGATCACGTCTCGGTTTAATCACACATCTCATCTCAGGCGTCAGACACGAACCATTAATGCAGGAACCGAAGTGACTGAAGCGCCACTCAGATCTACAGGGAATTACGCATTTAATCTCTTGTATCTTCGTCGTCGTATTCATCAAATAAACTGCATTGGAGACTTGAGGGTGAAAATAATTATTCTCCAATATTTGGAGAATTAAACTCGGCGTCGCAGCAGCTAAAACGAGGAAACACCAAAATAATAAAAATCCACGTCACGTTAATGAATGGAATTATACGATGATGATGAATGATATGTTGTGTTGTACATGTGTTTAATATCCTTCTCATCGCGGGGCCTTTGTTGGGTTCAAATATAATTCCAGGGTGGACAAAAGAGAGTCATGTTGTCCGTCTCATAGCGGAACTCTCATCGGACACCGCGTCACCAAAACCCACTATTACATCTGGCCACATGTGTCAATAAGCGAGCTGTTTCAGGCTGCTGTATATTGATTATTTTAATGAATGTGAGCTTCAGATTGGGACATTTTGGACACTTTTCAAAAACGAATTATTATCGTAATAATTATTTTTTATTACCACAATTAGTCGTTCAGTCGGCCTCATGCATTCCCAACTACCTTGTCCTGCAATTTTTGTATTTTACTTTTTTTTCCAACAATTTATCCACAGGTAAAACTACTCAAACTAACAGCCTAAATTTTAATGATTAAATCAGATTTAAATAGTCTGAGCTGGAAATTTTTCTCCATAGACGCACCGTCAAATTTCATCCACAGAAATAAAAAATCAATCCAGTTGAAATCTAGATTATTTTCAGAGCTCGAACCCTCTGATCGGCAGAGCGACGCAGCGGCTGCAGCTCCGACCTGAAGTGAGAAGTTGTGTCTGTAGCGCGCTGGCAGCTGATTGGCTACCTGTTGGTCTCCTCCATCTGGTGCCCTCTTCCTATCTCCTCTCCCCTAGTCTCACCCCTCTCGCTCTCTCTCTCTCGCTCTCTCACCCTCTCGATCTGTCTCTCTCCCTCCTGCGCCAAGTCTCTCTCTCTCTCTCTCTCTCTCTCTCTCTCTCTCTCTCTCTCTCTCTCTCTCTCTCTCTCGTAGCGCACCGCTGCGTCTTTGCTCTGATCTCTCCAAACTGCCCCCCCCCCCCCCCCCCCCCCCCGCCGCCGCCGCCTCTCCACCTCTCCGGTGCGCGCGGTGCATGAACGAGCCTCTTTAACATATCCAGACCAACGTCATCCAGCGAAGGTGGATCATGCCGCGCGGTCTTTTCTATAAAACCCCCCGCGTCCCGCTCGCTGGGGACAAATAGCCGCCGGTTCGTCAGAGAAGGCAGAAAGGAAACGTTGCTTTAAAAGTACACGGATTTCCCTCGGCGCTGACGGGACGCCGGTCGCAGGTAAGTCTCGTGTTTAAGTCTCCTTATGGACGGAGCGTTTTCTCGTTATGTCGCACTGAAGTGAGCGCATGACTGAATACATTGTTAAACTTTTTTTTGTTCATCCTGTTGGCCTCCTCTCGATTCACCCCAACTTTTCCAGGCCTGTTAATTCGCTTCATTCTGCAGCCTACTGTATTTAAATCCCCCTTCTTCTGCTTTTTTTTCTGATGTCTGATTTATTGCCCCTGCTCCATAAACCCCGGCCCGCCTGGGGGTTAAGCTGAGCCCCCTGAACTGTACCTATAAAGGAGCATAACCTAATAGACAAGCCGGCGCATGTAAACCTGTAAAACTATTTGGAATAGTTGACAGCTACTCCTCATTTTGAAGGAGCAGCCACAGCGAAATAAAGTGCGCACAGGAGAGAATTAAGCACGTTTCTCACACACTTCATGCAGCCAGCCGGTCCGATTACTGTTGTATCACATCCAATATAATCAATTACTGGACATTCATTATTATTTGTTTCAATCAAAAATAATCACTTATTGTGGTTTGAGGCATTCTAATAAATATCAGCCAGGTGAATCCTCGCGGGATAATACTAACTGGAAAGGAAGGCCAAGGTCCAGCTGGTTTGATTACTGTTATTATTGTCCACGGACTGGCTGTAATAACAGCTTATAACGGCTCTCGGCCATTGGCTGTCTCCAGCGACGGGTTCAGAGAGAGTTGAGAGTCACACTGCCCCCCTTTTCCAAACCCATCCACGTCCCGCTAACGCACAATTATTTTTTATTTGGGCAGAATTTACGGAGGAGAAAAAGCACAAGAGGGAGGAGAAATTGGACGCAGAGGGAAGCTTTGCGCAACGCCGCTGCTGTGAACGGAGCAGAAGCGCCTTTACGCACGGACACAGGTGGATGCTGGGCAGCGGACCAGCTCTCGAGGAGATGTTACCCATGGCCCAGTTCGGGGTGCTGTCGGCTCTGGCCACCGCGCTCACCTCGCTCCTGTCCGCGCTCCTGCTGCTGGCGCTGACCCGGCAGCTTTGGAGCCTCCGCTGGAGCCTGACCCGGGACAAAGAGAGCAGCCTCCCGCTGCCCAAGGGCTCCATGGGCTGGCCGCTGATCGGAGAGACTTTCCACTGGCTGTTCCAGGTGAGAGTTGACTCGTCTTGTTTTTTTTACAAAGCCTTCCAAAATACAGGTCAGCTTCCTGTGCGTCTCTAGTTATTTATTTGTGTTGATTGTTTCATGAGGACTTGAAATGACCGGATCAATGTTCGTCTTACTATTCGAATAATGTATGACGTATGTGGGAGCGCGCGGGGAGCTTTAAAATCCTGCGGAGATTCTTTCAGGCGGAGTTCCGTTGTTAATGTGACATGTGCGGACTTGATGCTCGGTGCGCAATTCCTTCCTGCGGAGCAGAAACAGACGTTTTCTTTTCAAAACGTCCTCTTCTCCCCCCTCCTCCCCCCCCTCCAGGTCTCTGTCGTTATTTCTGTGTCTTCCACGGTGAGGAATGCACTCGCGTCCCCTCATCTGTGTCCCTCAAACCACGCGTGTGCGTCACGCACGGCGCCGTGTTACTGCACACGTGATGTGGCGGGTTCCTTTGTTTTATTCCTCTCGATTCGGATATTTCATCCCCTTCAATATTTAGCTACTCACACAGGTCGCAATGCATGTAGGATTTTTAAGAGAAACGTATAAAGAACTTCCCATGACAACACCATTTCCAATTGGGATCGATAGTTTTATAATTGAAGTAAGTAGCACTCTTAGTGTTTTTTTGTAATCATATTTAATGAGTTTTATTATTAGGATCAAAGACTCTCGTTGCCAACTACAGTTTCTGAGTGATTGTTATGCAGATGATAGTAACTTGAAACTAGCAGTTTGGGTGACAATAAAATCTGCCCCTTAATTATTTTACCCCAAAAGCAAACAAACAAAACAGCCTTGGCCCACGCAGAGAAACAGATGTCAACAGAAACTACCAATTAGTGTTTCGACATTTCCTGTTGAGCAGCAAACAAACTGGACCGAAACTAGCTGTTGGAATTTTGAACAGTGAAGTGTGGGAAAGCTGATTTCCGCCTAAATTGGTATTTTCGTCGACAACTTGTTACCTGAAATGTGACAAACTTGTAACTCCGATTCAATCTTCACACTACAGGGTTCCAACTTCCACATCTCGCGCAGAGAGCGCCACGGCAACGTGTTTAAGACCCACCTCCTGGGGAAGCCCGTCATCCGCGTGACGGGGTCAGAAAACATCCGCAAGATCCTGCTGGGGGAGCACAGTCTGGTGTGCACCCAGTGGCCCCAGAGCACCCGCATCATCCTGGGACCCAACACCCTGGTCAACTCCATTGGAGACCTGCACAAGAGGAACCGAAAAGTAAGAATGGAACCTTTTCACTTAAGTATGGTCCATTATTGAGGTGACCCGGTACTTCTGATTAGTAGAAGATTTGTTTTCAACAATCACATCATGCTCATCTCAACTGAACCTGGCAGTGTACATTTCTGTACTCCAGTATGCTATCGTAACCCGTGCACCCTGTCCGGTCCTCGTATCTTCTACATTTTTGTCTTACCTCAATGGAGCCCCAGCCGTCCCCACCCTGTCCTCCTTTTTAGTGGGTATTTGCTGAAAGGTGTTGACTGTCGTGTAGAAGGTGGTAACCTTTTATGACACCTCTGTCCTTTGTTTCCCCGACCCTTTCAAGATTCTAGCTAAAGTGTTTAGCCGGGGGGCTCTGGAGTCCTACCTGCCCCGGGTGCAGGACGTCGTCAAGTCTGAAATCGCCAAGTGGTGCTCCGAGCCGGGCGCCATCGACGTTTACAGCGCGGCCAAGTCAATGACGTTCCGTATCGCAGTCAGGGTCCTGCTGGGTCTGCAGATGGAGGAGGAGCGGATAGTTTATCTGGCCAAGACCTTTGAGCAGCTGATGAACAACCTTTTCTCGCTGCCCATTGATGCTCCTTTCAGTGGGTTACGCAAGGTGAGAAGAGAGCGAACAAACCAACTCACGACACACTATTTTACTGACCTTTTATCCCTTCAGCATCACAGGGGCTGATGTATCCCACCCAACTCAACTGGATAATGATCATCTAATTATGTGTTTTGGGGGGGGGGGTCGTTTTCTGTCCAGGGGATAAAAGCAAGAGAAATCCTGCATGCCAACATGGAGAAAATTATTCAGGAAAAGATTGAGCGGCAGCAGGCAGAGGAAGAATATCACGACGCCTTTGACTACATGCTGTCCACTTCCAAGGAGCACGGCCAGCAGCTCAACATCCAGGAGCTTAAGGTACCCGAGCGCAGCACACACTATGATACAGACTTTATATTGGCCATTCAGGGAGGTCAGCTCAACTTTCACTCTGAAAGTGGCAATGAGATAAGACTACACTTCATTCAGATACGGCCACACAAGACTTCTTAACCCAAGTCATGTGCAAAGGTAATAGTTCAGGGTTCAGTTCTGTAGTGGTTCTTTGGCTGAAGAGTTCTCTAAAAGCAACAGCAGATCTCCAAGCGCACTAAATGTCTGTGGAATGAATATGATCACTGTTCAAATGAATTGATCCTAACCGGTTAATTGAGACGAATTTCATCCACTCACTTCCATCCTGGCAGGAAACGGCGGTAGAGTTGATCTTCGCGGCTCACTCCACCACAGCCAGCGCCTCCACATCTCTGATTCTGCAGTTTCTCCGCCATCCAGCGGTGGTGGAGAGGGCCAGGATCGAGCTGGAAGCCGAGGGCCTTGCCTACGAATCCCACAGCAGCCACAGACCATCTGATGTCACCACGGAGAAAGAGGAGGAAGCTGCAGACAAGGAGACAAGTCGCCTGCTCAACGGAGACGGTCATAATAACCAGAATCCCAGGGATGGTTTTCCACAGTCTCAGTCTCGTGTTCCCTATCTGAGCCTGGACAAGCTGAGCCGGCTCCGCTACGTGGACTGTGTCGTCAAAGAGGTGCTCCGCTTCCTGCCGCCGGTATCCGGCGGTTACCGGACCGCCCTGCAGACGTTCGAATTAGACGTAAGTTCAAGTCTCTGGTGGGAGTATACCATTTGTGTACACCGTCAGTCTGGGTAGGTGTTCTGTCTCCTTTACATAGCCACATATGAGGAGAAGTAGAGTACAAAGAGCATCTTTTAAGCTCACAGAAACAACGGTGGATCAGCGGCTGACCTCCGTGGTTTTGAAGACACAGCAACTTATTTTGACCGCCCCTTTCTTGGAGATGTCATTGTTAGAGTTTGAGAAGACCAGCCAGAAATACAGAAGTGCCAATAAGCACCATTAGCCTGCTGCAGTGTTTATACCGTGTTAGCCTTTGGCCTGAAGCCTTCTACATGTTTGCAGTTACAAGTCTAAACTGGTGATGCAAATGGAGACATGAAAGACAACTGGATACCGTCTTCAAAGATGGCGTCTAATTATTTCCATTGAAATGGCATCCTTCCTCATACTTCTTCATGTTTGGGAACAGCTTACACACTACAGTGACCTTCATACCAAGATTTGGGTTAGTGCAATTAGATCTGTGTTTGGTTATTTGCTAACAGCTAAATGCAGACGAGTACAATTGGTCCGACCATGAGAGCATGTGGCTGTTTGCGAGAGAGTCGAAAGGTGGTTTATCAACAGAAAATATTAAACGACTAGTGAGATCTTCAATTAAAACTTTATGCCAGAGGAAAAACTAATTCCTGGTTCAATTGAATTCTATCTTGGTCCAATTGTGATGTAGCAGGCCTCGCTGCACTTCAACGGACAAACACATTGACACACAGAGTGGCGTGGCCTTTGCTGAGAAAGCGCCCCGTCACAGCCTCGTCCCTCGGCCTTACGAGCCTCTTCTATGCCCTCAGTTTGCCCCCAATTTGCCGCACTTATTGCGACGGGACAATTGAAGTTCCAAACAGATTCCCAGAATACTATTGTAGTGCAACGTGCCATTTATGTGCCTCTTTCGCAGGGGATAAACCCCTTTAGCTGAGAAGTAATTGCAGCATCGAGAATGTAATTATGCCTGTTCACCCGAGTGCATCTTGTTTAAGCTGAGACATGGGAATCAGAACTCAGGAATAATTAGGATTAGGTTGTAAAGGGGTTGGGATCAATGGAATCAATGAATACATTAAGTCGGAAAAAAAAAAATTACAAATGTTTTTCAAGTAATAAAACATCATCATGTAGCTTTTCAATTTATGTTTGATAAAAGTTTCTACAAGAGTAAGTATATTGTCCATTAAAAGATACCTGTCCATAAGTCCACACAGCGGTTGGACTTCTTTCTTTGCTGTACTGCATGACATTGGTTTTTTGCAGATTTTCACACACTTAAATGTACCAAACTAACTGAATTATATCCTGATTTCACAGGGCTACCAGATCCCCAAAGGCTGGAGTGTAATGTACAGCATCCGGGACACTCATGAGACCGCAGCGGTCTTCCAGAGTCCGGAGCTGTTTGACCCTGACCGGTTCGGACCGGACCGGGAGGAGAGCCGGTCGGCTCGCTTCAGCTACGTGCCGTTCGGCGGGGGCGTGAGGAGCTGCGTTGGGAAAGAACTGGCCCAGATGATCCTAAAGACGCTGGCAGTGGAGCTCATCGGGACCTGTAAATGGACTCTGGCCACCAAGAACTTCCCCAAGATGCAGACGGTGCCAATAGTGCATCCGGTCAACGGGCTGCATGTGAATTTCACTTACAACAACCCTCTTTAGACAAAAAAAAACCCCACCGCGTGACAGACTTTCCAAATAAATTCAACCCAAACGGGCATCTTAACCTCCAGTCTGCTTTTGGAAAAGCGCTCCAATACATGAGACACGAGCACCGCGCCAGGCCCGAGGGTGCAATTTCGGCCAACCTTCATTTCCACAGGCATGTAGAAGGGGTTTACATTGGTGGTTTGGAGCAACTCATCATCTCTACAGTGGCTTGACCCAAACCTCCTTAGAAACCACCAGCTCAACGTGTTCACCTGCAGCATCCCACAGCTGTTACTATTCATTACATGCTTCTTCTTTTTTTACGGTAGTTAAGGTAACTCGGTGCGATTTAGTTTGTCTGTGTAGCCTTTTCCTACCTAGAACTTCTGGGTTTGACAAAAGGTGCCGAGTGAACAGACCTACAGGACATTTTACTTTATTAAATCTAAGACCATGCAACACATCAACACTCGCTGACAGGAATGAAACACCTCCTACAGTCTCCCTACAAGGCCATCTTGCAGTTTCAACAACTTGTTACACAAAGTGGTTTACAGATGTAGCTTTTGCACCAACGTGCATCTGTAAGGACATACCCGAGAGCTATGAGCGGTCGCTGCGTTGGATGAGCAAGCATTTCGTATTTCACTTCAAAAAAAAAAATGCCTTTTTGAAAACTGACAAAAAACACAGCTGGTTGTATTCCTGTATATGAGCAAGGCACTTGATGCCGGTCAGCTCTGTGAAAATCCGCAGGAACAAATGCTCTTTATTAAATCTACATGTGAGTTCTCATTACGACCAGTGTAAAGTCAGAAAAAGAGTGAAAAGATCTGCGGTGGTATTTTAACACTTTTAGGAAACATTTCCAGCCCAATGTTGGACACAACATTTTTGCAATGAACTCATCTGCTAAACCACTTTTACTGACGGAACTTGCACTTAATATTGACACATAAATCCCACAACCAGGAACTACACAAACATCAAGGCAAAATACATTCAAACGGTTCTGTTTTTGGAACACGAATGTAATATACTACATATCCTCAACAGTGCTATTATGTGTGTATCAAATGAAGTAGCGTTATGAATAAGCTGTATTTAAAATGCAGATGTATAATTTCTGTTTTGCTTTTATTCTGTAACAATATTTGCTATAATTATAAATAGATAGACACTAAACTGTAAAGGACTGTCCATACAACTATATTTCACTGCCAGTACGTAGATATCTTTCATTGTTTAGAGCAGCATTTATATAGAGTAAAGTTATTATAATTATTATCATTATTGGTCTAATGTTATGACTGTTTCTATCTAGGTTCGAAGCCTAACGGACACGCTGTGAATTCTTATGTACGGATGGATTCGTGGAAGGAGATAGCACTTTCTCTGCTTTAAGGAGTCTGTATATATTTGTCCTGTTGATGCATTCATTGAGTGTTCAGATGTAGCTGCTGTACAGTTGATAAAGAGTAAATTAGAAGATGAAAAACAGAAACAGTTGTCATATTTTGCTTTCGACAAGGAGATGTTTGTGAGTTTAGACTGTCATTTATAAATGCTTTTTAAAGTTCTTGATAATTCATTTGTTTACATTAATATTGTTGAATTATTTATTTAATGTCTTGTTATACAACTAACATTATCACGTCACACAAAAACATCCCATTTCACGGTAGCAAATAATTACATGATCAATTCAGAAAGAATCGCATATTAAGCCAGAGATGAAGCAGTTGTTAATCACATCTGGCCACATCTTGATCCCCCTGCCACCGCTTCCTATATCCAGCATTCTATCACTCACTGTGTAACTAATCCTCACACCAGCCACTGTACATCCCACCACAGTTTGTCATCATCTACACGTGTGCGGATGACACAAACATAGAAGGTTTATCCCACATAACAATAAAAATAAAACTAACAGCCGTCAACTGGTGAGTCAAGACGTTACGATTGTGGACTTCAGAGACCGAACCGACACGCAGTGGCACAGAGTTGCCTTAACAGTGGTATTAGAAGTATGCACAGTATTTACAGTGAATGAATGTAAGACACACTTCATAACTTGACCTCATTACTAACAAGAAGGACAGTGTGGTAACGCCGGAGGTCATCATGGAGGACGGCGCTGGGGTCACCTGTTAGGTCACTAGGCGTTTCCATCCTACACCCTCCATAGGCAGAGAACGGGGTGGAGAGAATAATGGGAGACAAACAGCCCGGCCTAATTATGTCCGCTGCAGGGCCCTGTTGCTCTGCCAAGGTCGTTATCTGATGGACCCTCAGTCACTGGGAACTCAGCGACAAATTGAACCAGAGTTCACTCCAGTGCCACCGGCTGCACAGGTCAGCAACCGGTCAACTGACGGGAGGGTGCATGGGAACCAGAGAGGGGACCCGACACAACGTTGCTACATATTATACAACTGAAACAGAGTCTGAGCGACTCAGCAGCTCCCCCTACGGGCGGGATATTTCTACCTGACCACAACAGAGGGCTTTAATGTGCACAATGCACAGAATTTGTAAGTTATGAGTTAGAGATGAAAGTTTATTCTTTAGGCGTGAAGCCTGAATCTTTCCGTCAAATGTGTTTTTTCAAAAAAAACATCTGTTGGTCGATGTAATACATATTTTGTGCAAACAGCAATTGTCTTTATGGTAATTATATGCATAACTGCATAGAGGGCAGGTGGGGGTCAACCTCAGGACAGGTTGAGGGCGAGGATGTCCTTTCATCATCCCATCCGAAATTATGTTTGTCTCTGATGAATTCTGAAGACTTAACTCCGATTAAAATACGATTGCATTTCTTGCAATCTGATTTATAAAAAGGTGTAATATGTTACTTTTAGAACAAACGAGTCACCAATAACCTCAGCGGCCGTTAGGGGAACAGCAGCCATCATGCTGCTGCTGGTGCGGCTAAAACAGCGACGTGACGTCACACGATCTCATCTAAATAACGTTAATATTCCCACATTGTAGTTGTTCCGTTGGCTCTGTGATACAAAGCAGCTGATTTGTGTTCAAATCCCTTCACCCGCTAACACTGCGAAAAAACACATGGTTACAGCTAACGTTAGCGTTAGCGTAGCTTGTGTTCCTGCCTTAATCCACTTATGACTCAGAAAGCGCTTTTTAGCTGAAGCGATTTTTTGTTATTTTGGTAGCTTCTGTTCTAACAACTGAAACTTATGCTGCCTTCAAAAGGGTCGTGTTAACAGTGATCATGAGGAGAGGATTCCTCTTGAAAGATTCAAGACTTTGGACCACGAAAAATCCACCTTTACGTTAAAGTATAACCTTTAATGCTGAGTTCTGTGAATGTTTCTATTACTCATCATTTCATGGGTTACGTTCTCGAATGAGTGATTCCTGATGTGTTTCAGCTACATTTCATTATCCCTCCTATGAAATCTATTTATTCTCTCCCTTTGAGTTAAAATAAAAATCCTCGCAGGGAGGCTGAAAGTTCTTCTTAGCTCCTCTGTGCATGTGAGTTCTGGTTCAGATGGCAGAAACAGGGCATGATAAGCAAACTGAGGGGGAACGCCGGATCAGATGGTGCCTCGGACAGAAAGCTGGGAGGCCGACGGCAGCACCTCGGCCAGCCGCTCGGTGTGTGCTCGCTCAGATATTTCACCTCCAGCTTGGGTTCTCTCTGTGTTTATTTCCATAGCTGCTGCTGTCACAGTAAAAACCGCAACGCTGCAATCTTGGTGGTTTTTCTTTTTAGTCCTTGTAATTGAAAGTTTACTTTGCCGTTTAAATGCTGAGTCAGTCAGGAACCTTCAGGGCTTCATTGTGTGACTTCAGAAATAAGAATGGACTGGGTTGAAATTGTGGCGGCTATGCCCAGCAGGTCATCCATCTTGACCGAGCAGAAAAACTATGCCCGATATTTTTACTGTCTTTTTTGGTTGCTTTTAAAATCAAACTGGTATATTTAGCCGGCCTTTGTATGTTGGGACATTTTTCTGTCTGTTTCAGTTGACTGTTTCCAAACCCTTGGAGCCTTACAAAAAGTCCAGTTGTGTGCAAATATCCTATTTTCTACAGATAACTTGACTTTTGGGGCATTGACTGTAAGCAACAAGGGACCTCCAGTCAATTGGTCATTAGTGCAATTCTCTGTTTTTCCTTGATGTGCTGTTTGGCCTGACGAAGAAAATACATCTAAATCAAATCATGAGAAAAACAAAAGGTTGAATCCAAAATATAATTTACTTTCATGAAAACATTAGAATGAATAGATGAAGTAACCTTTTTCCGATTATTCTTGTTTTTCAACGCCTAAAATGAGTGAGAATCATTTGACTCCATAACTCCTCACCCGTCCGTCGCCCGTATTCAACCTCTTCACCCTCTGGAGTCGTGTTGCTTGTGTTCTGGTTCAGAACCAAAGATACACATCAATAAAGATTTCTCTAAATGGCTGTTTCAGGTCATTGGGAGAACACTTAATTATAATAATGAGGTAAAAGAGGGGCCCTTGGAGAACAATTAACCGTTTTGGTGGTGCCGGCGGTGCACTGCAGTGACCCTCCAACAGCCAGGTTTATTTAAAACTAGCTACTCAGAAATAAGCTCCAAACGAACCAGAACATTCCTCATAATAGAAGATTAACTAACTGTCTTGACCAAATGGCACCACTTTAAGAGTACAATTACTCTTGGTTAACATTTTTGAGCATGTAAAAAACCTAAAATATAGCTCAGGAGGCAAAAGGCAACGGCAACCAAAATAGCGTATTTCCTTAATAAAATGCTGTAGTCTGTAGTCTGCAGGTGGGCGTAGTTTCTGTGCGGTTACCCATTGGTTGGTGGAATGCGGTTTTAAAACCTCCTGTTTGGTGATTTGACCGTCGCCATCTTGGCTTTTTGGTCGGTCGGATCCAAGCACGATAAAACCCAAAAAAAGCAACCGGGAAGGTCATAATGTTAACAGGTTCTATTTTATAGACTTTACTGTGTATTTTATTCTAAATGGAACCATCGTTTACGATGAATGAACATCATGCTGTTAGTGGAGACAGATATGTTTAAATGTGGATGAACGAAACCCAAACTATTCGCAGATTAGATTCTGCATGAGTAGATTACACACCATTAAATTGTATTTCTGGGGCTAATTTCATGTCAATCAACCAATCTGTCAAACCTCTCGGCCGAGTTTCGGAAAAGAGACGAATGCAATCTCATTTGTGTGTGCAGTGGAGTCACAGACCAGCTGGAGGAAACAAAGATGGTGCAGCACTCGGAGGAGGTGGAGGAGGATGTGGAGAAGGAGGAGCGGGTACGGACATACAGCCGTACAGCAGATAATTATTGGTTTTGTCAGACAACATCTGTTATGTCAGCATTCCAGCCGTCAGCCCCGAGGAGGACGAGCTGCAAAGCGCCCGCAGAGCCTGTGAGAGACAGACAGAAACAAGGCCAGACACAGGAAGGCAGAACCTGCCTCCGCTTTGGACGCGTTGGAGTTCACCTTCATGTTTATGCGAGCGCAGTCTGAACCTTCCGCCCGGGGGGGTCAAAAGTTCAAATCCACGTCTGCCCGGCTGCAGCGTCCTTGACCAAGACGGACTCCCCTCGGGCTGACCGTGACCTCTGACCTTCTTCTAGCGTCCCAGGGAGTTTCGCGTTGCCTTAGCTACGGTGTTTTTCCACGGCCCACACATTTGAACTCGCGTTTTAGGACTTAATGCGACTCACCTGTGGGGGGCTTTGCTCTGTCAATTCGACACGTCCTTCTGCAGATAACAGAGCCGGAGGTATGAGTTAACTTTACAGCTGTCAAGAGCCAACAGGATTTACTGGCAGCGACCAGAAAAATAAACAAGAAACTGAAAACTCAGGACTCAATGAACGACAGCTACAGACGATCCAACAATCACACCCTCACGGCAACTGGCCAGGTGTTCAAAGGTGTGAACGTACGTACGGTCTTTGCACAACTTCCCCCATCGGTTTTTTTTGTGCAACATCATGAACATGACCTGGGCGCTTGCCTGCATGTGACGAGTTCGCCATGTAAACCAGATGCGCCGCATAACACGCATACATGCCGCAGCAGGTGTGTTTCCCTTTAAGGGGTCAGCAGAAGAGAAGGAGAACAGGACGAGTGAGACGTGGGAGACCTGAAGATTTGTACGTTTGAAAACATACAAGCAGATTTATTGATTTGGTTTAATGATTATGTCTAGATGAGTGACGGTTGTGACTCGGTTCCGTATTGCATTGTCCAAAGCACAACTTGTAAGCATCTCTGTGAGGAATCAACCTGCAAAAACGGTCCCGTGCTGTCCGTCAGCTGAAACGCTCACTTTCCTCCCCTTTGAAAATAGGATTTCAGGTCTCAGTCGCAGACTTGTTTAGACAAAGATTATTCCTGCGCAGTTTGAACAACTGGTTGTCTGAATGACTGTCTGCTGCATACCACAGAACGGTTCAAGAGTTCAGTTGATTCATGAACTCAGCCGGGGCGCCACACCCAGCCAGCGGCACGCTGAATCCCCCGAGCACGAGGGCTGCCGCGTCCTCATGCGTTACTCATTCTACAGC